TTTTTCAATCTGTTTTGGCCATATTTTATTTCTAAAGCGTCGATTTATGAATATGTGTAAGTTCATTGACTAGGTCAATAACAGCGTTAAGAGGACTTATTCAATTCGTTCAAGCAGATGCTTCACGCGTCGTTTAATTCGTTTAATACTTACAAAAATATTTCATGCAACGCCTACTGGTGAACAGGGAGCAGTAAAAAATCAGCAGTGAAAGACTTTTTAACTTTTTTCTACTCTTTTTTGCTCTTAATAACGTATAAAAAGAAAAAACCTACAATTTTGCCCTAATTTAATATTTAAGAAATTAGAAATATCGTTCAATTTTCATTGAGACAGTTTTCTGTGCGTTTTTTTAGTAGTTTTTAGTTTAATCGATTTTATTGAATATTTCCTAATTCGAATATTTCCTATTCAGGGGCGGATTTAGGGGCCCCCTACAGGGATTCGACCCCCTGTCGACCCAAAGGGGTCCCCCTTTGTACTATTTTGAGATATCAATTTTTGTCTGACGGACCCTAAAATTTTCTAAAGGCGCCTAATTTTTTCTATTTAATAATTTTGAGGGGGAAGTGCGCGCCAAAAAAAACGCAATATTTTGGTCAACATTTTCCAAAAAGTTTTTTGAAAGCCTTTTATTAGCATGTTTTTTTAAAAAATTTGGCCGAAACATGATCTTTTTAGTGCTGGGGGAGAGCTCGCAAAAATCAATTTTGTCGATCTAAAAAAAGGTTGCCAAAAATTTAAAATCTGCACCCCCGCCCTCGAGAAAACCTTGGATCCGCCCCTTTTCCTATTTATTCCCAAGTTGAACATTTCTCATTTTCCTACGCCTCACGCTAATATATTTTGATAGATGTGCTTTTTCGCAGAGCTTGAGTCATTAGTTATTTTAATAGCGGAAGCTGTATGCAAGAATCCGGGATCTTTCATTTTCTAAGGAGGAGGAATCCTTCAAATTGCTTCCTTTTAAAAGATTAGGTCTTTGAATGAATAAAAGTTTAACGGATTCTCTGATGGATTATTAGAATGGTCATCGCTGATTTTGCTGAAAACGTGCGTATTATTGGCTTGCACTCAACTCACTGTACAATTTAAGTTTATTTTGGCATCTGTGATGATATTTCAAGTACCATGGCAAAAACAGATAATAACTTTGTCGTCAATAGCTTTCATAAAAGTTATTATCTCGAAGGGAATTCGAATATAATCACATTTGGTAGTGAGCGAGAGTGCGAGGTGTGCATCATTTTGGGGATAACTTCTTGCCGGAAAAGTTTAAATTAGATGATCTTAGGTAGACTTAAAGTTCAGATAATCGTTTTAATTTGGGAGGCCTAGCCGGGCAAAGGCAACTACTCATTAGTGTTTCTTTTGCAAAATGTTCGGTTTTTCAGCAACCTAGTGTAGTGGTCAGCATTGTTTCAGTACAAGAGTAACAATTTAATTTCAAAACAACGTTTTACGCGGAGCAAAGAAAATATAAGCTATTAAAGTTGGGTGCAAATTAGACAACTTCTGTAATTGTTACACATGAATTGAAACAAACTAACTATTTTCTTAGTGTAATAACTGCCGCAATTAAACAAATTTTTAACAAATACTAAACAAATCCCGATTTTTGTTTAGAAACTTGAGCAAACCACAAAACTAAACCCTTAATAAGTTGAAATGAGGCTGAACTTTTTATTTCACGCAATCTCAACAATTTTCATTTTGTTCCGACCACTGAAAATGGGGAGAAATTGGTATTCGGGTGTGTTATAGTTTTTTTTCCACGCAAAGTCAGATACCTTAAATAATTGTCGGAATGGGTCGAGTGATATACCAAATTAAAGCCCTTTCAGTCGAGATTTGAACGAAGTTAAAAAACTTTCATAAAGTTGTCCCGGTGTCGAGACAAACTTGTTCAAAATTTTTGACACTTAGTTCAATTTTGAGCGAGTAACGATCGTTGTATGAAAATTTTACTTTTGTTTGGACTTTTAGGCTCAAAAAACTCAATTTTACTATAAAGACAACTAGTTTGAGATGTATAATTTTGTATTTTCTCGGCAATTTTAAAAAAAAAATTAAAATTTTAATGCAAAAAAATTAAAAAGTTTACAATTTTTTTTTTTCAGTTTTATTATTTTAGACAAATTTTATCAATTATGTTTGAATCACAGAGGTTCTATGCGTTCTTATATTTTTCAATTTTCACCAACCACTAAAATCAACTCTAATTTACAGAAAAGAAAACGAAAATAAAATACTTTTTTAGTGAATATGGTCGGAACAGTCTGTGCCACTTACACAGCAACCGGCTATCCTTTTTCGTTTTTGGAATTTTTATGTTTCCGCACTCGTGAACACGACCAAAAATTGATTTACGTCCCCAGTTAGGTTTCCATAATTGTCGTTTCGGAGTTCTGTAAGTATTCGGCTCGCGAATTGAGTCGGACGTTATCAATTGAATTGCCAAAATTGCTAAATATCAATCGATGGAGCATGACCGAGTAAAAATTTGGTGTGGCGTGGAAAAAATGGTTCCTTGGTTTTACCTAGATTCAGAATACACTCCTGAAATGCTTATATATGAGCCAATATTGATTTGTTAAATAAGACCTGTATATAACCAAATCGGTTTAACTAATTGGTTATTTGTTAAATCAGTTTAACATACCATTTTTAAAACCAATTGGTTAAGCCAATTATTGTTAAACAGTTAGTTATATTGGACATCACTGCGCACATCGTAGTATTAGAATATCAATTGAAGTCACAACTTTTTGTGCTCAATTTTTATCACCGTTAGTTTTTATTTAGATTCCATTTCGATTAGCATGAGCTATGTGATTTTTTGTTCACGCTCCAATTTGAGTTTTTTGTTTTTGCAGTTTGATTTTAGTTTCTTAAGCTAACATCAAACTCATTTGCTTAAAGAATTTTGCTCTCGAGAAACAAAAGCTCAAATGAAGCGTAAAAAATGTAAATTACTTTCCTTTTCGAACTGAAAAAATACCTATTCACCCAGCTTACTTTAATTGGGCTATTTTTGTGAAAACGAAGTGTCCAACACAAATTTTTCTTGACATTCAAAGCTTCAACGTGATGAGCTGAGGTTTTTTCGATAATTTTCTTTCGCCATTTCTGAGTTCATTAACACTTTTCCAGTCACTGTCGTTTGGCAATGTTCTTTTCAAGAGCTTTTTGTCATTTTTGTTGCTTGTGATTGCAAAAATCAGCTCCGTTTCGGTGTTTACTTGAATAAAGAACGGTCTTTTGTTGATATGAGGCTAAAACTATTCTTGTGTGTGTGATTTATCGTGCGTGAGAATTTGTACTTTGTAACCTTTAAGTAAGCAAAACTTTTCGTCATTCAGAAGAAAGCAGTATTCTGAGGCAAGGTATCATAACGCTATAGGACGTTATCATAACAAACTAATCTTGGTAAGTTGCATCGATGTTGTTTGCAGAGTGTATGTACCATCTGCATCTTCTTATAATTGATAAGTGTCTTTCGGTGTTTTTTCGTCGTTTACATTAGTGAAGCACCGAGTTAAAGACGTTTTGGAGTAATGTTAGAGTAATCAGTAATCTTAAATATTAAATGGATGACCAAAAAGTTGATGCCACGCTTTAGCTGCCATAAGGCGCAATGGTTAAGAGCGACCATTGAGCTTGACGTTTAAGAACAACTTCTGAATCTAGAATATTTCAGATGTTTTCTTTTACAATCAAATTGACGCAGCAGATCTTCTAAACATTCTAAAGTATGGAATACTCAAGAATTTTTTTGAAAAAATACGAAACTTTTTCAGCAAGTTGAACTCGATCCAACTTCAAGGCTAGATAGTACATGCCTAATTTCGTCTCAATTTTTGCGTTTACAGTTTCATTTCAGTCTGAAAAGAAACAACTGAAAGCATCAATACCCATGCTTTGAAAATGGAAAACTAACTCTTAGCTTGAAGTTTTTCAAAATTTATAGCCTAAAAAGCTTGCTTAGAAAAACTTGAACTTATAGCGAACCGATTCGGTCTACAAATTAACTTGAAATAATTTGAACTTTCATAGCTTTGAACCTTGCTTAGGAAAACTTAATTTTTTTGCGAACCGATTCCCTCTATTAAATATCATGGAATAATTCAAAGTTGCATAGCTCTAAAATTTTGCTTAGAACTGTTTCTTGCGAACTGCTTTGCTAAAGTTTTTTGCGAACTGATTCAGTCTACAAAATAACTTGAAAATTTCAAAGTTTCATAGCTGGAATAGCTTGCCTAAAAACTTTAATTTTTTCACGAACTGATTCGGTTTATGAAATAACTTGAATTATTTCAAAATTTATAGCCTTAAAAGCTTGCTTAGAAAAACTCCATTTTTTGCGAAACCATTCAGTCTATGAAATAATTTGTAATAAAACAAAATGTCATAGCTTGAAAAGCGTGCTTAGAAAAACTTAAACTTTTTGTGAAAGATTCGGTCTACGAAATAACTCGAAAGAATTCATGTTTTATTATCTTGATCTAAGACAGTGGCTGCCCTTTTTTCCCAAAATTTTGCCTTTTCAGATTGATTACATACATTCTGAAACGAACCAACTAAAAACAGCAACCTCCTTGCTACAAAAACTAGCTGTTTGCAAACCGAATAGGGCTATGAAATGTTTTGAAATATTTCAAAGTTTCATCGCTTGCATAGCTTGCTTAGAAAAACAAACTTTTCGCCAATCGATTTGAATAGCTCACTTAGACAAACTTAAGCTTTTCGCATAACGATTTGGTCTTTGAAATAACTTGAAATAAATCGAAATTTCATAGCTTTAAAAGCTTGCTGAGAGAAACTTCAATTTTCCTAAAGTTTCTCAAACCGATATTGCTCAGCTTAAAATTTTTCAAAATTTAATGGCTTGGATAGCTTGATCAGAACAACAACTATTTTTTTTGCGAGCCAATTGATTATTGGAGTCGGACTGGCTATTTCTATTTAATCAGAGTCGGAACTCATGTTTGATGTTTTAGCTGGGGTCGTATAACAGGTCAAAGTTGGGTGTCCACAAACTGAAGACAAGAGTCGAGGACCTCTGGACTCCCCAGACATTCACATTCACCCCCATCAACTTTGCAAACCCCCCTTCCCAAGGCTGCTGGAGGACTCCAGTAGCACACAGGACACATGTAGGGGCGCTGAACCTCCCACTAGGGTCCACTAATGGTGGGTTGTTTGGAGGCGCGTTTCGAAGTTTGTGCACTACAGGAACCTAGAAACAAGACTCTTGAGTTGTGTTGTCATTGGTTTTGTCTGTTCCAGTTATAGATGTAAATAAAAGCGAAAACTTTTCCTGCAACCCAAAACTTCCGAAACAAACAGAATTTTTTCGAATCAACAATAAATCGAGTTGATGATAAATTGATTAAAGTTAAAAGTTGATTTAAAAAAAGTGATTAGTGGCTTTGATCAATTCAGCTAGAGGGTCGAAAATAAAGGGGGTTTTAGCAAAAAAAAAATTCGAAATCGCTGGCAAAGTCTTTTCCTCCTGTGATTTTCAAGGCCCCTGTTTTTTATCGGAAGGTTTGGTTTGGATCTTCTCTCGCGGACCTACTATTCCAACACTGTTCTTTACTCGATTCCAGTTGCAGATCACATCAGGCAAATTGCCATTAATCCATCTTCACCATAAGAGTCTATACGGTGACGTAGCATTACTTATACATGTCATAATTTCCACTTCTTCTTTGTGTCAATAAGTATGCTATGCAAATTACAGCTAATTTAGAAGCCAAATTACCAAAAAAATATACGTAATGGGATTATGCTGTATGACTTGTATGCTAGATGAGACGTCACCGTTCTATACACTATACCACACTCGCAGCATGGTTTTGACACCGCAAATTGAAGTTGTTAACAGCTCTGATAAAATTGGTAAACCACTTTTACCATTTGAAGATTTCAAAACTCTAGAGTAGGATCCGGACTAGGTTCGAATATTATTCAACCGAGTTACAAATTACTTTCTGATAATGAAAATCTCCACTTTTTGCCGAGCTACCGAGGAAATTTTTTGTTTGCTCTTCATTTCAGAAATGTGCCATTTGAAATCGCTAAGTTTTTAATTTTGGCCCGTTACTGCACTATGTAATTACAATTAGCTGTGTCAACCCCTGATTCATAATACATGCTTTGTGCAGTAATTGCATTTTGTGGATCGCATTCTATTAAAAATGTAAATAAAAATAGATCTGTTACCTGTTTAAACTCGAAAAAAAAACAAAATAGCCTCAAAAACAAAGCGTTTATTTATTTTAGTTTAATACATTAGTTGTTACTTAAGTGTTGTTGATACCGTTGGTTCGTTTGCGAAACTAAAACATTCTGAAATCTACGAATAATGTGTTATCATTGAAATGATCAGATTTCAAGTAATCAGGATTTTGTAAAGTAACCATCGAGTTAATTTAACCCCCATGTAGAGGGTTTTCCATTCGATTGCTGCTTAAATTACTTGTTTTTCTCGGAAATGAGAAAGTTTTTTTTTCATTAATCGAAATTTGATTGTTTTAACCCAGTGTTTAAGTTCATATTTGTGGTACAATTTAGATTCTACTGATACTTAATGAAAACGTAAAACCTTTGTGTATAAGCTAATTATCTGCTTTAATTTATCATGAAAGTTCGTATTTTTGTATTGAGAAAATTTAAAATTTTGCTCAATTTTTGTTTTGCATTTGAAAGTACCTTTAGTGCCCTGTTATGAGCTAAAGCTGTGCAATTTTTTATTCATTGTCATCTCGAAAGTTATGAAGAAAAACGCTCGCGATTGAATTTTTCAAAACAGAGATTTAAAACAATGTTTATACAATAACTCGTAAATTTGTGGCTTTAAACAAAAGTTGAAAATACATCGACCAATTATTTGGTCTCACCCTCTATATATTAAAGAAGGGAACAATTATGATGAATATTTTTCTAACGGTTTCTCGTCTGGTAATACAAGTTTGTCGTTGACCGAATGTGGTTGCTGCATTCATTTCAGTCGTGATTCGGATTCGGAAATTTTTAAAGCATATACTTATACTTATGGAATCCGAATCACGACTATGCTTTAAAAATTTTCTCCCTGACGATAAATAGTTCGATTACCTATACTATTTGGCCACAAATTATTCTTGGAAAATGATTAAATCAGTGAAGGTGCAAGAAAGCGGTGTTTAATAGTTCATTTTTTCAGGCGATAGGTCGCATTTTTTAAATTGAAATGTATTCAGTTTTGATCAGTACAGAAATGAAAAAATCCGAAGTAGTTAGGAGGAAGCTTTTTGATGTTTTTGCTTTTCAAATTGAGGTAGAATAACTTCAACTTTCGAAAATATTGAAAATTTAGAATAACATCAACTTCCGATGAAATAGAAAATTTAGAATTACATCAACTTTCAAAAAATTTGAGAATTTAATTATTTTTAAGCTGCTAGTGATAAGTTTCGAAGTATCAGAACGTTGAATATTGGGGATATTGGGGAAAAATTGAATATTGGGAAAAAATTAATAAACCGGAAAATCAGACATCAAGTATTTATCTTTAAAAAAACTGAAATCATAAAATTGGGGAAAAATTAGCAAACCGGAAAATCAGACATCAAGTTTTTATTTTTAAAAAAAACTGAGATCATGAAAGAAAAAATCGAAATAGCTGAGAAGTGTGGTGCATTGAGTCGATGTATTATTTAACCGAAAAAATTTGATTCAGCAAAGATTTGTGCCTGTGAGAGTCCAGTTCAAGCTATTAAAAGTCGGGGATTCGCTGCTTACTACTTCGTTTCTCAGGAACTGCATTGCATTTAGATAGTCTGAATTTCGCATTTTTCGAGCAGTCGCAACTACTTTTATATCCAATTTCTGGTCCCAAAATATAGCCACTCAAAATGAAAATCCACGCAATGTGGGATTAAAACTGAATTAAATGTAACATTTTTTGTTACAACTTTGAGAACTGGAAGAAAAACAAGGCGAAAAAATGGAAATTTTCAAACTCAATTGATACAGTGTTTCAATCACAGTCTTCGCCTTGTTTCTCTTTCAGTTCTCAATGAGTCAATTGATTTTGAAAATTTCCATTTTCTTGGCGAATGGCAATGAATGACGTTAGTTTAATGGTCCGTTTTTATTTTTCCGACTTTCGAAGAAATTGAAGGACATATATACTTGGGCTGGTTTTTTTATTCAGAACAACCTCTAAAAGGAAGATTACTCACTCGGAGGATAAGTCCAAGAACCTACAAGGGATCCGCTGGGTGCGTGCACTACTCTATATAATTGACACGAGACTATGCAAACTGCTCGTCTTATACTCAAAGTGTAGCACAAAATATTTACGCGCTGCAATCGAATTATCCCGCAGTACAAAATTGTTTCAAGTTGTATTGAAGCAAGCTGGTTGTTCTGATATGTTTCATACACGACTCAAATTTTAACAATTAAACATTATCAGCCTGAGTTTGTCAATTAATCAATTTACAAAACACTAGTCGAGATAGGTTAAAATGCAATCGGAACATTCAGGGCTTTGCTCTAGTACAAGCAGGTTTGTTAAATTAATTCTAAGTTTGATAATATCCACGCATGAGCTGTAACCGGTCAATTAAACTGCATTGAACTAAAATTGTTTTAAGTTGCATTAAAAATTCGTTATTTTAGTACAAATAATTTTTCCTCTCAATCAGCAGCTAACATGGTATAGAGAAACAAATTATACTTTTGCAGCTCAGCTTATGCGCAGAAATCTAACCACGCGTATTTAATTATTGACAAAAAAACTCAAAATCTCAAAAATAAAATTAATCAAACGTTTCTTAATTTAACTATCTTTAATTGGCTTTAGTAACGTATCAAATAGACCAACAAGAGTGCCTCAACTCATTTTGAGTTCATATCTTAGCCAGAAATTTTGCCACTTAAGCTTCAAAAGAACATATTTCTTATTTAATAGCTCATTTAATGTCAAAAATTAACAATGTTGCATTTTTCAAACCCAATAACCCCATTCTAAAGAAGTTGCAGGAGAAGTTTCTTGTTTTTTTGGTTGAATCATACATATTTTCCGATTGATATGAAAAAAAAACCGTATCTGAAAACGAACATAATTTTCCTTCTTTATATTTTAACAAATATAATAGCCAAAAATGTTAACCTCTGATGATTAATTTGCTGCATTTCTCCTTTTTTAAAAGCGTAAACGGCAAATAACTTTGGCAAACATACCGTTCCGAATTAACTGTGGCAGTTTTGTGGTCTAGTTGCTAACCTACTAAATGCACAAAATTAGTTATAAGTAAATAAACTCAGATCACATTATTTTCTACGTGGCAGATATATCATTCCAAACTGACTTGAGGCAATTTTGTTGGATTAATTGATACGTAATTAAGTGTTAATTTAGCATTTTGTTATGCCGCCTTTTTGTAGCTTACTATCGAATATTTGGAACAAAATCTATTTTCTCGAGGTAAAAAGGGAGTGTAAAGGTTCAAGCTTTTGCATTGATACGAACCACCTAGGAATTGATCCAAAATGATGAAATTTCTGATTGTTTGCAAAATTGATTTTGTCTCTGTGTGCAATTATTGTTCCGACTTTCGATACGAAAGTAACGGAATATTTGTGCTCGGGGTGAGGTTTTTTTTTCTTCAGACGAATTTCGACTTTTAAACTAGCCATTTTAAACGGAATTTTTTAATATCATTCAACAACTATTGTTGTCCTGAGCTTAAATTTGAAACGATATTTTACCTTTGATCATTTTTTGTAAAGTTATGGGGGTTTAAAGATTGCCATTTTGGCCAATTTGGGACAATTAACGCGCGATATATTTCGCGCTAATAACGCGTAAGCGGAGAGTTAATCCGTCTTCGAAATTGTTCCAAAATGGTTGAAAGAAGCTTATTTGCCATAATTGATTTGTTACAAGGAGAAAAATTTATCCTTTTGTACTTTGGCGTGTGGGGGGTTGATTTTTATTTAAACAATTTCAAATTTTATTTAAAAAAAAATTTTTAATTTTTTTTCTTACATTTAATTTTTTTTAAATGTTTTTACTGGTCCATAAACCTTAGAAAGCAGTCGGAACCTTCAGGGCTTCGCCCTGATACGAGCAGTCTTGTTTGATATTTGAAATCTCAGTCAAAAAATAAATAGAATTTTTTGACGAATGTTTTGAAACTTTCATTATTGAACTAACTTGAATTAAATTGAAAATGTTTTTTGAAAATTTTTGGCGCAGAATTTAAAATTGATTTTTCTGAGCGAGAGTTTGGCGTAATAATTGAAAAAATGTTGCAATTTGGGAGCGAATTATATCAATATCTGAAAAAAATTCATGCGCAAAATTATTTGAAAGTCATATGATATCGGAAAAATTATTTTGAGCCCTAGAGATGTTCTGCATTATTGTTGTTGTAACTGTCCTTTTCTTGTCATGGGGTCAATTTTGGTATGAAAAAAGACCTTTCACTAAAATTTGTCATTTGTAGGAACAATCTTCTATGCTCAATACTAATTTCAGAAGCAACATCAAATGAGGACTTGATATTTCATTCTGCTCTAGTGAATGCTGTTTACATACAGTTATCAAGTTGTTTCGCGAGCCACACGAAAACACAGCAGGTATAATCGAAAAAGTATATTGAATGCACAAAGAGTCTTACTACGGAATGGTTTACACAATATAAATTTTTCAAAAACTTAGAACTGTTAACCTGCTTATTGCTTTCCTGAACACTAGTTTGAATTAAAAATTTTAGTGCAGCTTCTTGTCAATATTTTAGTCTGAAAAAAAACATTCAGACAAATTATCTCAACACCGAGCACTGAGACAAATTTTTTGAAATTTTTTGAATTCAATTCACGACTAACAGGATTTCAATATGATGCGCATTTTTTGTCAACCCGGGTAATTTGTACCCTACAGGTTTTGATGAAATAGTTGAAAACGCGCGAAAAAACACCAAAGCTACTCCTCTGTGGTACGGCTGGTGTGCTGCCTCCCATTGTGTATCGTAGTATTGTGTATTGAATTGATAGAGGTCATAATGTTAGTCTGAGTGAGTTGATGTTATTATGTCAAGGCCGGTACTTGCCGACCGTGTTAATGTTTTGTGTTGAATGAAAATCAGTCTCTCATTATCTGATGAAAGATACAGATATCTCAACATTTCTTTATTCAACAATTCACATCTTATTACAATTACTTTTGTAACTAAGAGTCTGTCGGTTGAGATTCCACATGGCGCAGCCAGCAGTTTTGGTCGGCGAGGACCGAACTGATCTTAAAGGGTACCAGCGTTCTGGCTTAAACCAGCAACAGAACCTTTATTCACATGGCAGTCATGGATCGGACAATTCTTTCTAGCCGTAAACTTAAGAGAACATTGCAACGCCAATATCTTACTAAGCGAACCAACTGAAGTTTTCGACGACCCACCTCCCCGACCTGAAAGAAAAGGAGAATCAGAAACCCAAATCGAAGTAGCTAACCGTATCGCGAGAGATCAAGCTAAAATCCGCAAGACAAATGAAATCAACTAGGAAAGAAAGAAAAAGGACCAAAAATTGGCCAAATGTATTTTTCCACGAAGCGGATCAATGAATCAAATCACGATTATCCTTCTCCTTGGGTTCAGAAGGTAACAAAAGATTCCTACAAAGCCACGCTCACACAG